GAAAAGTATTAAGAATTTTTTACTTTTGCCCCCCAAAGTACCAACAAGATTCACTTTCTGATCAAACGAGGTACTGAAGTCAAAAATCGAAGCACTTTTACTGCCCCAAAACGTGATGACAGACACACAAAAAAAAAAAAAATGAAAACAAACAACATGGTAAAATCAATAGTATAGTCCAAATCTTTAGAGAGGTGGATTGGCAATTGTTGAAATTCTCATTATTCTCGATACCTTTATCAAATAACAATTAGGAAACTTGACGCACGACGTGTCTCTATATAAATATACATATATAAATGTAGTATAATATAATATAATATAATAATAAAATCAAAGATTTATTATCAACATTATTTCGTCAAGTTTATATCTGATTTATCTCATATACGATCGACAAATTACGTAATTTTAGTATCAATACTTATTGCATAATATATTTTTTGAAATCCTAGTAGACGATAAGGTACCTTTCTACCTAAATCATGTAGTTTGAAAAAGATAATATACCTATTAAGTGTATTATTGTCGCTCCCATGGATATTAATATGAGACAACTCAAATACAATGGTATAGGTAATAACGTATTTTGAACATGTTTAATAAGTAGACGCTGCCTAGATAGAATTTAAACTTATCAATTTAAATTTACGTAATTATTATTGTTATACAATAATTATAAATATTATTTTCTATTTTTGTCTTAAAATATTTTAAATGTCATGTTATTAGAACCTAATTTGAGAATATTCTTTTCTATTTTTGTCCTAAAATATTTTAAATGTCATATTATTGGAACCTAATTTGAGAAATTAATCGCAATTCGGTTGAATAACCGTTTATTATAAAATCGGTTGATCAATTTATGCTATATTTATATTTATTTAATTATACCATTGTATAGATTGTAAATTCACTATTTTTAATAATAATAATAAAAAAAAAAGGTAATTTAATAGAAATCTGAATTTTTATGTTCCCTGTATATTAAATTGCAGCAGTGAAGACATAAAATAAATTTGTATAAATCTTTTGGTTAGTCAGTTAGATACAATAAATATTACATAAAATAGGTAGATAGGTACATAAAATACACGTCGAAAATAGAAGGTACTATAATAGACAAAAACCATTTCAGTCACCCCATTAGTCATTAGGTATTATGTATTTTGATATTGCTATCACTAAGAAAATGTTGAGATACTTATATATTATTACTATATACCTACCTATAAAACATTTTTAACGAAAACTAAATATTCATAAAATATCACGTTAATGTACTATAATGWACCAATATAAAATATGTATAATATGTTGATAAGCAACAGATGTCATACCTACTACATATTTTATATTAGGTAATAAACTAATAATATTTTAGAAGGTACAATAAATAAATCGAGGTTTGGCACTTACGTTATTGAATATTGTTTGTAAGTGACTAAATTTATCAACAATTTTTGACTTTTGTATACATTGTCATTWAGTAATTAATAGTACATACCTTTTTTATAATAGCTATAAATAATCAATTGTGTACTATACTGTCCTCGAATAAATGCAAAATATCTTAAACTTTGAAGGTTTAAAGAGATTATTATTTATTAAGATTCTAGATCACCGTCACAACCTTACAACATTCGGTTTTTAATTTGCACCAAGACCAAGTTATCAGAATTCAATATGAAGATGGTTGCAAAATGTTTGTTTATTCTTACTAGGTATATTGTAACGTGACGAAATTTAATGCCCAAATGTAATGATAAATCATATATTTTATGGGTAGGTATGTACACATTTCTGTCGTATATGTCTCAAATACATAACTATAGCTTGTGCATGTCAAAGGGATGTAAACTGATGTTAATAATAAATAATTGAACAGAACCAATGTACCTTTATTTTTATTTTTAAAGATTTTATTTTTTGTTTTTATTGAAGATAAAAGTGTATTTACAATCTATACATATAGTGTATAATAAGTAAGTGTGGTGACTTAAAAAGAAAAAGAAAAAAAAACATTAATTACAGCAGAGGAAGGCTCCCAGCAGTGCCACCTGACAAGAAATTAAGGTTTGAGTTTATTATTTTACCAATGTACCTATGTGCGCAATTTGTTGTACATATTTAAATAACTCGATGTAGATATAATTTTTATCTAAATTGTGTTAGATAGGTAACCAAGAAGAACAAATACAGTTAATTCATAAAATAGATAACTTACTTCAAAATAAATTCCATAAATCTATGAAGATTAGCAGCGACTGTAAACATAAAAACAAAATAAACTTATGATTACGTCGGAGAGCGAAAACTAACTGGCATATTCGGTGCATTGTAAATTGTATGGAGTTCTGACGACCATGAATAAAACATTGGTTTTCAAGTCAACCGGTACTCGACCGCATATACACCCAAGGTCAATAATTTAACACTCGTTTTTTTTTCAATACAAAAATTTGAAGATAATGTTGATACAATTATTTCCTTTATTTTTATTTACTACCTATCACGGAACTATCAAAAACTAAAGATTCGAGCAGAATATAATATGTATAGTACGTATTGGACATTAATTTTATATGCACAAGTATGCACTAATGSTACCGATAATCATTGCATAGTAAAAAAGAGTTTTATTTGAGATAAATAATTACCTATTGGGATTAAGATTATAATTATGAAATGGTCTTTATTCGTTAAATTTCAGCCAAACTGTGAGTCGATATGCTAATTTTATTTAACCAGTTAAAAAAAAAAAAACATTGTAAAACAAAGATTTTTTTTTAAACAATTCAAATTTAATGAGTGGAAATAAAATTGATCCTACAGTTTTTTATCAACATTTCTCACACAAAATTCGATTTATAAATGTAATGAAATCAGCAAATTTTTAACGGAATATTCAATCGATAGATTTTAGAGCATGCCGCAATAAGCTGTATTCTACAGACTAACAGCTATATATAGTAGGTAGTATTCCAGTYCATAAAATCACTCAATCGATCGATTAGGTTTATCAAAACAAATCCCGGCACCTCCCATACCGATGCCGGCAGCATAAACAGAACATTCTATAATGAAATAGAAATTAATTGTTCGTCATTAATTCACTCCAAATCATTGGCTCAACTTAGTGCCAAAGTGTTCTA